GAAAATTAAGATAATTTTTTTGATTTAAGTGACAGTACTCAACAATAACTATGATAAACAATTTTTAATTATTATTTATTTATTATATAAAATTATCTTATCAAATTTTATTCAAAAGTTAAATTAAAACAACTAACAACGCTAAAGGTAGTATATAATTCAATTATAAACTTTTAAAAATAATGTGATGGCTTAAAAGTTAGAACCTATTCAAATTCTACCCACTTTGATAGAATTTAAAAATTAACTAACAAATTGATGACATGGCAAAGATTTAGACCCCACTAAATATAGGTTTGTTCAGTATTTTTTCGATTTTCTTCTGGTAATTTGTTTACGCGGCTAGGGTATAGAAAATGCACTCTTCAACCGCGAAATATGTTTTTTTTTTTTTTAAATCAAAATTTATTTAAATTAATTTTGGTTTTCTATGATTTGGGTGAATAAATATTTTTCCCTCATTTTTCAACTTTATTGCTATACTTTAGATTTAGTTTTTCACCAATATGTGCACAAACCAATAAAAATTTGACTAAATTAGTATCCATTAATTTAAAATTTTTAATTTAAGATCAAAATTATAGATTCAAACTTTTATATTGCTAAACAATTATAATCCTCTGACCAATAAAAAAAATGATATATGCTTAAACAAAATTTGTAGTACTAAAATTCATACTCCTTTTGTCCCAAAATAATTGTTGTATTTTGACTTCTAGTTTGTTCTAAATAAATTGTCATTTTTATATTTTAAGTTAGATAAATTTTTTTTTCTTCATTTAACCATATCATTATTCATTTATTTTAATTAATTATACTATCATAAAAGTATCACTTTATATTTTAACTTGTTTTGATGGTAATATAAGTAAATACATGAATTATCCTTAAATCCTTAATTTAGAGAAGAAGTAAAAAATGACTGTTTTTTGGGATAAAGGGAGTAATTCATAGTAAAAAAAGTAAAAAAAAATTAATACTCTTTTCTTTCGTTTTTAGTATAACTACGTTGACTTTTTAATTTTTCAGGCATGAATTTTAAATAAAAATTTAATATATTATATAAATAATAATTGAAAATTTTTTATCAAATAAAAGTACTTAATAAAAACTTCATGTAAGAAGAAAAAAGATTTTTAATTATTTTTTATATAGATTATTGAATTTTCATTTAAAATTTATGTTTAAAAAGTCAAAATATTAAACTAAATCTATTAAAAATGTATTAAAAATGAACAGATGGAGTATTATTTTAGGGTTGGATGGACAACAAAATCAATATGATATTAGTCTTGTTATTAGCACAATTGTTTTTAGACAAGCTATTACTTTTTTTTCTCAAAATAATTATTATTTTTATTTAAATCTATTCAAAAGTAATTGTTAATTTTTTATTTTT